AAATGATCTAGCCCCATCATACTTGTCTGAACTTCTCAGCTATCATCAATCCTCTCAGATCCTCTGATAAACTTTTCTTGCATATTCTTGGATCGGGCTTTTTCTGTAGCCGGTCCTCGACTATGGAACAGCATACCTCTGGATATTAGATCTGCGCCTTCCCTGCCCGTTTTTAAATCCCGCCTGAAGACTTATCAGTATTCATTGGCTTTTGGATGAAATGTATGTTTGTGTATGTTAATGTGTTTTTGAGTCATTTCTTTTTATTCTCTTAATCTCTATATTTACTTTATTTGTATATGCACAGCACTTTGGCATACACTAGCCGTTTTTAAATGTGCTATATAAATAAACTGACCTTGACCTTGGATAGATCAGTCAGGATACCGTGTGTGTGCCACTCAATCAGAGACCAGCTCAAGAAATGAAATCACTGTCAGGAGTAAACTGTGATAAACTTTTATTTATGCACATCACAATATACAAACAAATTTGTACATAAATATTCCAATTCACCAAAAAAATAAGGCTAAAATATTATATAAAATCTCAACAACAAAAAAAACTTCTAGCATGTAAAGCCAGAAAAGTGACATTCGGTGTAAAATGAGACGTCACAAAAAAATGCATACGAAATCTCAGGAACTAAAACATCCAGAATTCTCTAACATTCTATATAAATTTACACTTATTTATTAACCGTGAACATGCAGATATTTAATTATTAAAATATTTATTTGAAAAACTTCTAGTAATTATACTGGGTGAAAGAGGATCAGATGACAAAAACGTTTGTGAATTCATGAATTTGTACATTTTAAATGTGTCTGAAAGACATAAGCCTTCCAAAGACAACGTAATGCATGGTAAAATAACCTATAAATCAAATAAAAATGAGTGTGTTAATCAGTAGTTCTCTTAAACCTGAAATGATTTTGTAAGTCCAGTGATCAAATGCTGTGCAGCCACCTGACTAATGACTGATCTATGGTGTCAGCTTTTTAAACGCCATTCAAATTTCACAATCTAGCCTAACAAAATGTATTAAATACAGGTAAACAGTCAGACATAAAATAAGAATCTAATTACCAGCAATAGCACACATAAAACACAATAAAGCACTCTATTTCAGTCGTATCTGTTCGAAGGCTTCAGGTCTATCATACCAACAAGAAATAGCCTACTACAGATACTGAGTAATCAAATGTAAATATGTATTGATTCATATTAAAGCTACTAAAATGATTCAGTCAAAAGCAGTGAGTGATTTTCTCTCTGTCTTTTGTTGTTTGATTAACATTAAGGACACAGAAGCAGCAGGTATATTAGGCTGCTGTCACTTTAAGACCTAATGCATGGACCCAACGAAGATTGTATTCACAAGTGCATCACACACGAATGTCACCACAAAGTCATAATTACGCGTGAGAAACTCCGACCTTTCTTTAAGCCCCGAGTTTTCAAGTTGGGGGCGAGTGAGAGAGAAAACACATCTGACGCAATAGAAAACAAAAAAAGTGGCTGCATTAATGGTTAATTTGTTAAAAAGAATGAAATGTTTTTTTTCTCATTTACAGTAAACAATATGATATTATTAAACAACTGCAATAGCATATTTAGACCTAATAATTCAATTTCCAGCACCTTGTTAAATTGAATAGCAACATAAAAAAGAAAAAAAACATTATTTAACTCATCATGAGGGTCAATGTGAAGTACAAAAAAAATTAAAAAAAACATTTTGAATTTTATGTAGAAAAGGTACATCTCCTTCTTGCTCTGACCAAATGAAACACACCAGATGTCATAAAAATGCCTTCCCAACTCCCAAGAAGACTGGAACCAACACCTACATTTTTTCCCAAGAGTTTGGACATAACCTTCTGTCTAGCAGGACAGACAGCTAATGAGCTGTTTAGCTATCTATAGTCGCTAGATATAGACACAGAAAGATACACAAACATCTAGCAATATAGACGTCCAGACCAACAGATTGACAGACACAGTTAATCGTTTATCCTGCCATCCATCATTCAGACAGATGGAGAAGCCTCACCTTTCCTTGCAGAGCCTCGACCGTGGCCGTCTGTCTAATGTTGCCCACATGCACCGTCACCTGGAAGCCCTTGTGGAGAGTTTTGGCGTGGAAGAGTAAAACGATCTCAGCCTCAAAGCGCCAGCAGATAGTGGGGTTCATCTCTGGGCTGACCATCACCATTCCCTGCCGGGAAACACCCGGGAAACAACGGCTTTAAACTCTTTACACTACTCATTCTATATGGACAATTAACAATGATTGTAGAATGACAGCTCATTTTAAATCCTGGTCCATTTCATTGGCCTCTACACTCTAGACACCGATAGACAAGCTCACCTTTCGTAATAGTGAACGGTCGAAATCTCCCAGCGCCAGAGTAGCGGCCTGTCCGGCTCTCAGCACCCTGCACCCGGAGCGATTCCTCTGGATACTGCACACCGTCAGCTCACGAAACTTCCCGTCGTCCGTGGGTCCGACCACCAGCTGCTCTCCCTCGCGGCAGATCCCACTGCACACACACCAGAGGTGTAACGCTACACATATTCTGTGTGGCTCTTTCGGTTCGGTGCGCATGTGTACCGCATGAATACAGCATCGTTTTAACCACTGCACGAGTGGAACTTCATTGGAAACTTCCAGTTTTATATATTCTTACTTCTGATAAGAAACAAAGTATCATCTTTCAAATTATGTGCATTTGTTTTGGAAATTCAAGCAATAAATGCCATTTTGGCGCTCTTTGATGTGGCGCGACAGATCGCTGTATAGACACCTCAGTTAACGGCCCTTCCTCTTTACTACTATTTTTTAGGGGTGTCCCCGACTAAGGATTTTCATAGTCGAATCGGAATGGGCTTTTTTCACAGCAGCGGAAGTCGTCATAGTTGGGTTAACTTGAAGAGCAGTGAATGGGAGAGTACAACAAATATATTTTTTGCATTCCCATTTGCTCAAATAGCAAAAGAAAAACTCCACGATAGTGTTGTCATGACTTTCAATAAAAGAAAGAAAATTGAGAGAGACTGATGACGGCTGTCAGAAGAGAGAACAATGTCAAATTTACCGTCCCACCCATAGACGCTGGATTAGAATCACCCTCGCATTAGCGTTAACTGTTTTTTTGAAAATTTGTCCTTGATGAGGCTTTAAAACAATATACAACTTCAAAAAAAAAAAAAAAAAAAAAAAAAGTTTATAAAAATACAAACAATTAAAAAAAAAAAAAAAAAAAAATACAAATATGAAAAACTTTAGAGGATTTACGATGCTGATGACCGTTAAACGCACCATCACAGTCTTGTGAAAAGGGTACATTTTCGAATCTTGCCGATATTCGACCGATAGTGGAATCATATGTTTTGGGGGCGGGGCAAAATACAAGTCAGACATTCCACAGTCATAATTACTGACGTTAACACACGGAGAAAATGTGTAACTGACGCCTCGCAGATACAAAAATAATGTTTTGATTAAAAGGTAGTTAACATTAAACATCAGCGAAAACTTAAGAATTAACAAATTTGTTTATAATAGTGCTCTCATTATAATGCTATGTATATGACAGTAATCCAGACTTGGGTAAAATGTAGAATGTATAAATTGACTCCTATTACAGTTTAGAAGTTATAATTCTATTTGAACTGGCCACACCCCATATGATGTTGAATTAAAGGGATAATTCAAATAAAATGAACATTCTGTCACCCTCATGTCGTTCCAAACCCGTAAGACCTTCGTTCATCTTCAGAACACAAATTAAGATATTTTTGATGGAATCGGAGAGCTCTCTGACCCTCCCATAGACAGCAACGCAACTTAAGTGTTCCCAGGTCCAGAGACGTAGCAAGGAGATCTGTAAAATAATCCATGTGACATCAGGGGTTCAACTGTAATTATACAAAGCTACGAGAATACTTTTTGTGCGCAAAAGAAAAAAAAACGACTTTATTCAACAATTCGTCTCCTCTGCATCAAGCTCTAAGTGAGTGTCATGTTACTGTTATCGATTCTCATCTCATTTATCTTGGACTGAAATAACAGCTGCTATATTTGTTTCCTTTTATCTGTGCAGTTATTATAACTGGAGCACCGCTGCTCCTATTATGTTGGCTATGCAAGCCTTCCAGAAACCATTGCCTAAGGTACACACACACACACACACACACTCTTGTCCATTAGTGTTTTCATTTCCATTTCACTGATTCATTTGTGTTACTTAGTTGTTCTCCCAAAAGTCACTCTGTAGCATTTAATGACTGTTTTGTAATGAAATAAATATTTAATACTACTGTAGTATTGGTATACTTTTGATTCAGTAATATAAATGAGTGTTTTTAGTATTTAATCACATATACAATTGTGGATGATACAGTTAAGGAAATAATTATTTTCAGGTAATAAATTAAACAAAGCACTAAAAACTAAAACTGATTGTTTTAAATCCCACAATTATAATGCACAGTATAAAAATGGATATTCATTTTGAGATTTATTAGATATTACACTTAACAGCGTTATTAAATTATTAGTCTTATAAAATTGTATAAAATTGGCAAACAAGAATAACTAAAAAAATCTATTAAATAAATCTATTTTGTGCACCCATATAATATACATTATTTACGTAAAAAAAATTTGGGGTCTGTAAGATTTTTTTAAACAAATGAATACTTTTATTCAGCAAAGGCGCATTAAATTAATCAAAAGTGACATTTGTATGTTACAAAAGATTTATTTTTCTCCAAAACACATGTATTATGGTTTCCACAAAAAATATTAATGTTGAACTGTTTTCAACATTGATAATAATCGGAAATGTTTCTTGAACATAATCAGCATATTAGAATGATTTCTGAAGGATCATGTGACACTGAAGACTGGAGTAATGATGCTGAAAATTCAGCTTTGCATCACAGGAATAAATCATATTTCATAATATATTAAAATAGAAAACACAAATTGTAATAATATTTCATAATATTGCTGTTTTTACTGTATTTTTGATACAGTAAAAAATACAATGAAATGAATTTCACATGATATGTGAAATTCTGAAGTAGAAAAACTAAAATAGTATTTTTTTGTTTTATTTTCAACTTCAAAAAATATTTTTTACTGTGCACACTCTCACACACTGGTTTGATTCACTATATATCTCATGGATTCTATTTGAATTTGAGATACATTATTTATTTTGAGATAGTATGGATTTGCATCTTTATGTTAAAAACTCTGCAGACACTTTGTTATTTGAACCCAAATAAAGGACCCACTGCATAACAACTTTACGTGACATTAGAAAGTGTCAGAAATGCTGGTGCTAGAGAATATAGCAAAACACACACACTCTCTTTCTCTGTTTTTGATCAAATAAATGTAGTCTTGGTAAACAAACACAAGACATTTGTAGTTTGACACATATATATGTAAGATCTGTTTTCTTGTCCTGTGTATCACCTCCCTGTGTGTGTGTGTGTGTTTTAGTTTGCAAGGCTCAGTCATGTGTGTTCTGTGCTGGAGTTTATCTTCTGTCGCCTGCTTCATTTCTTTTCTTCCTCAGTTCGTTGCAGTAGTTTCTATCAATCCTCTTCCCTGCATGAGAGTCCAGCATTTGTTTGATTCTTGCGGCTTTGGTTTCTGAGAGTTTTTCAGTTGTTGAGAATTATGCCTGTACGCATGTACCTCACAGGCCACTGTAGAGAGACTCATGAAGGAGAAGATGCCCAGAAACCGAGGAAGATGGTGGTTTTCATGGCGAGGAAGAACAAACAGCACCAAACCGGTACTCGGATACATATTCCTCATCACCTTGGGCTTTGATTCAAATGGTCCACTGGGTGGAGACTTAAGGTTTTGTGACTTTCTGTGAAGTCCTGAAGTGAAAGTCCTTTGTGTTTGCAGGATTCAGTCTCAGGTGGTTCAGCATGCCCTGCAGGAGACGAGACCATCAAGAACAGGTTCAGATCTGATAGAATGATTTCATCTGGAATATTGCAGTCTGTAAGCATTCATATGCCTGACCGATCGTTTGTTTACAGGCGGAAAGACGAATCCTCGTCCAGCGATGAAGACTTAACTGCCAAACAAACCCCCGTCCCTGTTCACACAGACCCCGCCCCTGCAGGAGGGGGCGTGTCCTATCAGAAAACGCTCCGCCTCTCTTCAGAACAGCTCGTAAGTATATTGAACTTAATTAAGAAATTTTTATTAAAAACTTGAACCTCTAACACTTGCACTCTTTATTCTAATTTTATTTATCTGCGTGTTTTCTTTTTTATTTATTAAAAAAACTTGACCCGCTTAACACTTGCAATCTCTATTCTATTTCTATTCTACTACTTTTCTTTTTGTTAAAAAAACAAAAAACAAAAACAATAAAAAACAATCCGAGTTCTCTATTCTTTTTCTATTCCTTTTCGTTTTCTTTATATAAAATAAATGACCCTATGACACTAGCGTTCTCTATTCATTTTCTGTTCTATCTACTTGTTTTTGTTCATTATAAAAAAACACACCAAAAATTTAAAATTCAAATTATTGTACATATCATTGCTCTTTTGTTGGTTTTGTTTGCTTCCATTGTCCTCATTTGTAAGTCGCTTTGGATAAAAGCATCTGCTAAATGACTAAATGTAATGAAAAAAATAAAATGATTACTGTTTTGAAGACAATTTCACACCTCAATAAAAATGAGTTTTATAAATTAGATAACAATTAATCTTTATAATTAACAAATTTAGTGCCACACTAAATACTACATGAAAAGCCCATTTATTTGAGCCCAAAATAGCAATGAACAGTGCCATTTAGCTAAATATTTCACTACAAAACAGAACCCTGGAATTCCATGCAAAACTTGAATCGCTGAATCATTCAAATGAACCAATTCACTAGAATGATTCAAACTGTTTTAAAACCACATTTGAGAAGAGGCCTTTTCAGAAGCATGTGTATTGTGTCTCTGATTATTTGTCTGCCGTAGGTCAGTCTGCAGCTAAAGGACGGTCCTAATGACGTGGTGTTTAGTGTGACGACTCAGTATCAGGGCACGTGTCGCTGTGAGGGAACCATCTACCTGTGGAACTGGGATGATAAAATCATCATATCAGACATAGACGGCACAATCACCAGGTATGTAGTTGTGAACATAATCGTAACCTTCAACAATAATTTATCCGCTCACATACCGTTGATGTCGTTTCGCAGGTCAGATACGCTGGGGCACATTCTGCCCACGCTGGGTAAAGACTGGACCCATCAGGGCATTGCAAGCCTGTATCACAGCATCAGCCAGTAAGAGCCCACAGACGCTTTCTCTGATGCTCTGATACGTCAGCAGGATGAAGAGGGAAATGCATCTGTGTGTGTTTCACAGGAACGGGTATAAGTTTCTGTACTGCTCGGCGAGAGCGATTGGCATGGCTGACATGACGCGGGGTTACCTGCACTGGGTTAATGAGAGAGGAACCATGTTACCACAGGGACCCGTTTTACTGAGTCCCAGCAGCCTGCTATCAGCACTGCACAGGTGATTATACACACAAACACACTGAAAAAAGTCTTGCAGGATTTCACCAATAATCACAACAAAGTGGCAAGTGACACGTTGAATTAAATGTGAAATTCTGAAGTAGAAAAACTGAAACAGTATTTTTTTTGATAAGATGTTCTGTAGCAATCTGTTTTATTTTCAACTTCGAAAAATATTTTTTACTTTGCACACTCTCACACACTGGTTTGATTCACTATATATCTCATGGATTCTATTTGAATTTGAGATACTTTATTTATTTTGAGATAGTATGGATTTGCATCTTTATGTTAAAAACTCTGCAGACACTTTGTTATTTGAACCCAAATAAAGGACCCACTGCATAACAACTTTACGTGACATTAGAAAGTGTCAGAAATGCTGGTGCTAGAGAATATAGCAAAACACACACAGACACACTCTCTCTCTCTGTGTTTCCAGGGAGGTGATTGAGAAGAGGCCGGAGAAGTTTAAGGTGGCGTGTTTGACAGATATTAAGAATCTGTTCCTCCCAAACACTGAGCCCTTCTACGCAGCGTTTGGGAACAGAGGCACCGTGAGTGAACACAGAGACAATGAGATTGCAAGAAATGCAGTAAAATATTGGTTAATTGGTCATCATATTAGCCAATAATATTAGTTACAAACTTGTCAGTCAAAATGGTTTGCATATCTAATTAAGATGCCTGTACTGTAGATGATCCGTGTGATGTGTAGTTTTGTAATCTCTCTGTCTGTTGTGTCTGCAGGACGTGTTTTCCTATAAGGAGGTGGGAGTTCCCTTAAACAGAATCTTCACTGTCAATCCTAAAGGAGAACTGATCCAGGAACATGCCAAGACCAACATCTCATCGTGAGTATAAACTACTGACCAGTGTTAGCGAAGCACCTTTGAAAGTAGTTTGTCATGTTACAAGCTACTCATAACCTCAAGTAGTTCAACTACACACAAGTTACCTTTCTGAAAAAAATTGCCGTTTTTTTTTTTTATATATATATATAAGCTACTACTGTATACTATATACTAAGCGCTGGGGCTCCCAGACTTTTTACCTATACATCTTTTTTATCTATACATTTACCTTATCTCTTTACATATTTGGTTCTATTAAATCAAACTCTGGTGCTATTTCTTTGTTCATCAGCAATTTCTTTGTTTTCATCAGCATATTTTTTGGTCCAGACCAAAAGAACCAAGAGAACCAAACTACAAGTGTAAACACAGCCTAAAGTTGATCAGACATTCTAATGCTTTATATATATATATGCAAAAAGAACTGAAAAAGAACTATTTGAATGCTACTGAAAAATATAGTTACGTCTGTTCTGTTACTACTCTTGCAGTTAGCACTGCTACTGACTGTGTGTTTGTAAATGCTTTATATGAATGTGTCAGCTGTGCTTTACCTGTGCAGGTATGTGCGTCTAGGTGAGGTGGTGCATCACGTCTTCCCGCCCCTGAAGCGCAGAGGTTCCTGTGATTTCCCCTGCAGTGACACCTTTAGCCAGTTCACTTTCTGGAGAGAACAGCTTCCCCTCGTGGATGGACAGATGGCGAACACCAGTCGCTGAACAGCTCACATAATCTGCACAGAATATAGAAAGGCCATAGACTGTATAAAACATGGACGTAGTGTCCGTGACGTCACCCATAGTTTTCTGAAGAGCGTTTTTGAAGCTCAAAGTGGGCGGAGCCGGCTGTTGCCACCACGTGTCACTCCCGGATAATCGAAAATGGGCAAAAAGGTTCAGCTGGTTGCTGAAGCCACGCCCACCTAGCTCGACGGCAGCGGCAATCCACCTGTCACTCAAGTGGCCACACCCTTATTTATGCAGAACTTTAAGGCTTAATATAATTTAAACGGATGAGTTAAGTTGATAAGTTGAGCCAGTTGATGAATTACAGTTTAAGTCACTTCCGTGTTGGCTTCACGAGAGAGAGCGGGAGGTTGCCGCTTGAGAAAGACAGGCTGAAAACCAAAATTTAACATACTGGAATCAGTGCAATTATATGAAAATCACACACAAAATACATGTATGGGTCTGGACCTCAGAAAAAAAAACTGCACATGTCAGTTGTGATTTCGAGTATACTGTTAGATTTGTAAAAATGAGCTCAGATGTTGGATATATTTTTAACTTTTCAGTTTTGCTTGTGGCGATCACAAGCTTTTGTGTTGAAAAGCATCTGTTAATATATGAATGTACTGCAAGAACAATCCTTGTATTTGTATTTCATTTGTATTTGTTCATTGTTCATATTCCCGGCTTTCTCAGCAGCGGAAGTCGTCATAGTTGGGTAAACGTCGAGAGCGGTGAATGCTAGGGTATCACACAAATGTATTTTTTTTGCATTCCCATTTGCTCAAATAGCAAAACAAAAATTCCACGATAGTGTTTTCACGACTTTCAATAAAAGGGAAAAAATTGAGAGGGACTGATAACGGCTGTCAGAAGAGAGAACGATGTCAAATTTACCGTCCCTCCCATAGACGCCGCATTAGAAACACCCTGGTATTAGCGTTAACTGTTTTTTGTTTGTTTTTAATTTGATGCAAAGGTGATATAATACAAAGAATAGTTTTATAAATGTAGATACACAAAAAAAAAAAAAATACAAATATGAAAAACTTTAGAGGATTTACGATGCTGATGACCGTTAAACGCACCATCACAGTCTTGTGAAAAGGGTACATTTTCGAATCTTGCCGATATTCGACCGATAGTGGAATCATATGTTTTGGGGGCGGGGCAAAATACAAGTCAGACATTCCACAGTCATAATTACTGACGTTAACACACGGAGAAAATGTGTAACTGACGCCTCGCAGATACAAAAATAATGTTTTGATTAAAAGGTAGTTAACATTAAACATCAGCGAAAACTTAAGAATTAACAAATTTGTTTATAATAGTGCTCTCATTATAATGCTATGTATATGACAGTAATTATTAATGTTCTGCATTTCTGTTTTGAGCTGCACACGCTGAAGATGACCAGTAGAATGAAGCATTTGATAGCAGGTTTTTAATCAATGGGATTTAAAGGGTTAGTTCACCCAAAAATGAAGATTCTGTCACCCTCATGTCGTTCCAAACCCGTAAGACCTTCGTTCATCTTCAGAACACAAATTAAGATATTTTTGATGGAATCGGAGAGCTCTCTGACCCTCCCATAGACAGCAACGCAACTTAAGTGTTCCCAGGTCCAGAGACGTAGCAAGGAGATCTGTAAAATAATCCATGTGACATCAGGGGTTCAACTGTAATTATACAAAGCAACGAGACTACTTTTTGTGCGGAAAAGAA